GCATTTAAAGATAAATGTATGAAACATCTGGCAAGTCACTTGTTTTCTTGATAGATGAAGTGGCCTGCCTCGTGTTGTGGGTTCTGCTTGTTTTCCTTCTGTGCAATTCCTGTAGTGCTTCTGTAAAAATGAAATGAAATTATCTTTCACAGTAGGAAAATTTGATTTTTTTTATGAGCAGAATTGAGATTATTTGGCTGTTGTTCATGAAGAATGACTCAATTCAGTGATTGTGAATATTGTAGAATACAGTACGATTCTATTTTCTACTTCGTATCACAGAATGTGGGGGTTGGAAGGAAACTCTGGAGATCATTTAGTCCAACTACTCTGCTAAAGCAGGTTCAGCTAGAGCAGGTGGCACAGGACTGTGTCCAGGCAGGTTCTGAATGGCTCCAGAGAAGGAGACTCAACAACCTGTCTGGGCAGCCTGTTCCAGTGCTCTGTCACCCAGTGAAAGCTTTGAACTCTAAATGTGAGTTAATGGAGATTGATCTGGCCCTGCCAACTTTGGTCATGGCTTTTCATTTACTTTAGTGATGGTTAAGTTCATATAAATGCTGAGGCATCCAATTGTTTGTTGGTTTGTTATTTTTGTGTGTGTTTTTTTTTTTTTAATATATACTTTGGCAAGTTTGCAAGTTCTGATGTCTGTGTTAATTACTGTGTAGGTGCACTGGAAAAGTTTTTACTTCTCTGTAAAGTACAAACTTTACAGAGTATAAAAGCCTCATCAGTTGTAAAATGAGAAACTTTACATTTGAGTGACTTTAAACTTGATTTCAATATGACTACTTGCAGTGGTGGTTGTGTAAGTAAATGCTTCGTTTTCAATTCTAAAATAATCCTAATTATAACCTAACTTCATTCAGTAGTGTTAAGTCTCCTTAGAAAATTTTAGCACAGCTCTCTAACAATGAGATTTATTACTGTAGACACAATATAAGATGTTTGGTGTGTTGGTTTTTTAAAGCTTAACACAAAGAAGCAAGTCCTTCAGATGTTTGTGGTTGTACTGTAGTTGAACTGATGATATGTATGTCTTTTAGGTTCTGACCAAGACAATCAGTTCGTGAAATCCACATCTCAGCAAAGAAAACCTCACTGTATTTTGAGTGGTCCTGTTTCAGGAGAACCTTGCCAGACATCTCAGTACATAACATATGACAGGTATCTGAAATGATGTCACAGATGTTAATTTTTATTGTGTTTATGTTCTGACTCTGTTTATGTACAGCGCAGAGACTAACCTAAGGCTTATGATTTGTATATATTAAATATTGTATAATAAAAAAATTATTGTGATTCTGTGTGAAGCATAATTTATTTGCATAGTAACACTTTCTTTTTCCCAGTTGCAGTGTTGCAACAAAAAAATCTGCTGGAGATAGCAAGCCAAATCAGTGGGTGGAAAGTGACAAAGAAGAAACAGAGTGATGCACTAAGTCATGGGAAGACTGGAGTTGGAACTCTGCTACGCAGAAACTTGCACACAGAACAACTGCCTTAGACAACTGCTTAGGGTTGCCTGCTTGGGGTTTTTGGTAGAGATTTGTTCATAAATATATAATTCTAAAGTGAAATAGAATGCTGTGAGTTTGATCATTCTTCTGAAGGATTATATGGTGATCTGAATTGTGGTGTGTGTGTGTACATGGCTTTTATTTTTTAGACCATTTTTTTGCCTCTTGCAACTCTTGAAAGAAGATAACTTAAAAGCTTTGGTATTTTTCTAGTAACAGAATCTTTGATTCTGTGAATGAAGCAATGGTCTGGAACTTTGACTGTAATGAAATATTGAATCCTAATGTTACCTTTCATCACAAACAGAGATAGCACTTTTAGAAATTAATTATTTGAAACATTCATTTATGTCTCAAGTGTAAAATTTATTTTGCCTCAACTTGAATGTACAGTATACTGTAGATTTTTAACAAAACAGGTTCTATATTTATTAAGTTGTGTGATTTGAAAATACCTCTTTGATATGTCAGATGACTGAAAGTGCAAAATCTTTATATATTTGTAAATAGACAAAGCGATTATGCTGAGAAACCATTAAATGAAACACATGCATACATTGTATTATTTTACATGGCATTTTAAATTGTTTTATAGTGATGCTCAGTTTACAGATTTAGGACTTTCAATGGTTCAGTCAGGAGCCAAATTATTTCAAATGTGAACAATAAAAGTGTAATTCTATTCTAAAAAAACTCCTGGTTCTGTGTTTTGTGTGCACTAAACTTTTAATCTATCATGGTTGTGGGGCTGTACACCATGTCAACAAATCTAATGCTGGTTTTGGATTTTGTTAGATTTTCCTTTTAATTGACTTCAGAATCTTTTTTGGTGTGGCCTTTGGGAAATCTGTTTTGTTTATAATACAATAAAAGTAGCCAGGTAGAGGTAAGATGTTTCAAAATCTCCTTCAGTTGACTCAGAGTATGCACTTTTCCTTGCCCATTACAAATCCATCTTGTCTCTTGTTGCATTTTTATGCATGTGTGAACACATGTATAGCTCAGTTCCTAGGGCAAGTGACCTTTTGGAAGGTATCTAAAACTTACATTTTTCTCAAGGTCGTAGGAAGGAAATTAACTCTGAAGGTTAGAAGCATTGACTGAGAATGTGTTGCTGCTCTGCCTGTTACCTTCAGAATTGGATGTAATAGAATGATTGGACTACCTGGAAAAATAGCAGTAGAATGAAACAGGAAAAAGAAGAAACTGGAATTCTGCAAGGAGCTAAGACTGAAAATTGTGGTTTCTGCTGATGAGTTCAGAACACTGAGTTACAGCTTGAGGTGCAGAAGTGGTCAGTGTGAACCGCAGAGGATACTTGCAGTGTGTTCCTCACCCAGCACCCTTCAGGAGGCAGACAGGTACACAATGATCTTTGTGCTCAGCTTTCTGCTGCAAAGGTAGCCAGGCTGGAAAGACAATACAAATAACATCATATTTATTTATTTCTGCAGCTCCCTCTCAGTAAATGGGTGATCACAGTCATGGCATCTGCTGTTACGTGCTTAGCAGTGGGTAATTGCTCTTAGGCTGCACCTTCCCCACAGCGTGTGGGACAGCCGGTGCCTCAGTTGTACTTAGGGAAGAATAAATACATATATTCAAAAAAACATATGTAAAGTGAAAAGTAATCATCTGTTGGCACTTAAGTGGGAGCACAGTACTTTACATGCAATTCGCGGCTTTCCACCAGCAGCTGAGTTACAGCTTGAGGTGCAGAAGTGGTCAGTGTGAACCGCAGAGGATACTTGCAGTGTGTTCCTCACCCAGCACCCTTCAGGAGGCAGACAGGTACACAATGATCTTTGTGCTCAGCTTTCTGCTGCAAAGGTAGCCAGGCTGGAAAGACAATACAAATAACATCATATTTATTTATTTCTGCAGCTCCCTCTCAGTAAATGGGTGATCACAGTCATGGCATCTGCTGTTACGTGCTTAGCAGTGGGTAATTGCTCTTAGGCTGCACCTTCCCCACAGCGTGTGGGACAGCCGGTGCCTCAGTTGTACTTAGGGAAGAATAAATACATATATTCAAAAAAACATGTAAAGTGAAAAGTAATCATCTGTTGGCACTTAAGTGGGAGCACAGTACTTTACATGCAGGATTCGGCTTTTCCACCAGCAGGTTGTCTGGCGGGCCGGGCTGAGGAGCGCGGCGGTGCCACCAGGGGCTGCTGCTGCCCCGCGCTGCTGGGGCTTCTCTGCGGCACTGAATCGCGTCCAGCTTAGTTGGACTTGTTCGCTAGACAGCTTTTCTTCATGACAGTATTTTTTTTTTTATAATAATAATGCCTTTAAAGAACAAAATTTACCTTTTTTTTTGCCTATTGAATGATTAGTAATTAATATAATAAACTTTTGTTTTAATATTCTGTAACCCATTTAATAGAACTGGATGTTTGGATGCCTCCATGGAAGAAGCAACTGCCACAAGTGTGTATGCAGATGAGTCCTGAGCTGACTTCTCACACCTGGTCTGGAAGTCTGGGATGTAGGTTCAGTCTGTCCCTGTAAAGAAAACAAGCCTAGAGTTTTTGGCTTGCTCTGTGTGCAGTGATCACAGTCTTCAGATCTGAAGCTACTAATGGTATGAATACTGCAGATGGTCTGGTTGGTAGTGTGGTGACATTGTGATATTTCATGGTCTTGGAAACTTCAGGTTCCTTCTTACTCTGGGACTGTTGAAGAGCAGAGGGGCACACTGCTTGCAGGAGTGTAACAGGCATGTCACTTCACATAGGTGTGTTTTTGAGGGAACAAAGCAAGTGCCCTCCTTGAGAAGGAACAAGAAGTACAGTTTACCAGTGACTGAGTGCACAGTTATTGCTAGTTACTTATGTATAATACTGAAAAGATGAGTGATCCTCTTAGACTATGATGCTTTATGTCACAAAATCTTTAAATATAATATGCGTTGCTTTTTTTTTTTTCAGCCCGTATGAGTGATTTTGCCATAAATATCAGTTTGCAGGATTAGATTACAGTTGTTAATTTTTTCCCCTTTCATGCTTGGTGGTTGAGCGATACAATATATCTTATGTAAAACAGACTATATAGCAAAAAAACCAACAGAAAACCCCAAACTTTACTTAAGAAAACTTTCTCTCTACAAAACAGCCCTTTGCCTAATTTGAAGAAGTGCTTCCACCATTTTCTGCAGACTTGCTCTGTTTCAGTTGCAGCAGGACAAAACTATTCCCATGTGTATGAAAAAAAATAAAATCTCAGGGATTATTCCATGTGCACTTCAGCTGGGCCAAGGTAGCTAATCAATCATCAAGATAATATACATTTTTACAGGTTATTCTTGAAAGGAAAAGAGAAGTATTTACAGGGTAATAGCAATGCTGTGTCTGTTGAATTAGCTTAGATACTACCTGTGTTACTTTTTCCTTTTTTTTTTTTTTTAATTTGCAGTTGCCACAAAACTTTTGTGTGAAGGATGTAAGACATCTTGCTTTTACGTTTTCCCCCCACCCCATCTGATTTATGAGAGAAGCAGATGACACAATATGAATGATTAATATAATTGAATTAAAAAACTGATTCCAAAAGCCATCTTCAAAGTTATCTGATTATTCTTTCAGACAATATACCTGGCCTCTCATGTGCTCTACACCCAACAAAGTTGCACTGTAATTAAAAAAAAAATTGAAAAAAATCCAGAGGTATATATTGTTTTGTAGTTTTCACACTAACCCAGCAGTACTTGTGCTCCTTTATTCAAGTTTTGAGTTGTACAAGATGTACAACTAACTGGAATGCTTAACAGGTGAGTTTGTTTAAAGAAATGTTCAATGATAAGATATTAATTACAATTGTATAGAAGAACACTATAGTGTGAACACCATAGTGAAAAGTTTGTCATCTGAGGCACTAAATGTACTCATTCCCTTGAATGCAATAATAGATTGATTATCATGAAAAAAAGAGACATTTCTTGTTAATGTGTCCTGCCCCCTCCCCAAGTGTAGTCTTCTGCAGTGAGCTGGATGGCAGTTCCCAAAACAGAGATTGAACAATCCCAGGTGGATTCACAGCCCAGGTGGGATCTCTTTGAAAAAGTCAAGACTTGTGGGACTGACAACCCAGGAAGAGCAGTTGCTTGTGGGAAACTCTAGAAATTGCTGGAATAGAAAATAAATGTTAATTTGTGGTCATCAAAATAGCGTTTGCCACAAACTGCAATCATGTGGTTCATCTTATCACCTTGGGTATTCTGGGAACAGAAAAAAGTGATGAATAACCAGTATGTTGTATGTGTTGAATTAAAATTGGATTAATATTTTTTTGTATGCCTTAAAGCCCACAGTTTATTGTGTTGCCTGCAATTATCCCTCAAGTAATACCCTCCAAGTTGGAAGCCTCTGTGTGTTTTTCTTGCCTGTTTTGTTGATCCAGCTGCCACATAGCTCACTTTGGCAGAGTCTGTGACTATTTTGGAGGATTCACCAGAACTCATTCCTTTCTTTTTGTGATTATCAGTCTATTACCATGTTCAAAAAGGGTGAGAGTGGTTTGTGCATCTCCACTTCCCTCCATGTCCCTGACATTTCTAGAGAAGACCACTTGTGTGAGCGTGTTCCTGGGCTGTCACTGTGTAGCAGTGATGAAGCTGGCTGCAGACCTACAGCAGTTTGGATACTTGGCTGCATGTTGCATCTGGCTTCTTCGGAAATGCAGAAGTTCTAGCTGACCTGCACTCCTATTTCCCTTGCTTTGCTGCTAAGAGTCTCCATGGGTTTTAATTGTTCACATTTAGCTGTCATTTACCTTGGAAGATAAAATATTTACAGATTGCTTATGAAATCTTTGTTCATTAAAAAAAATATTCCTGGTCAGCATGACCGGAGCTGAAAGGACGCACTGATCTTCTGCTTAATTTAAATAAATATATATTTTCCATGTATACAGGTTTTCAGTAGGATGTTAAATGTGCTTTGGTGCACATATTAATATAGGAATAGTAAAGGTTTATCTGTCCTGAATCTCCTGCTTACAGGGGTAGCTGTAAACCTATGCTGAGGAAAGAGAAAAAAACACTGTGACAGTGTGACACTGACTCTACTTGTTAATTGGGCCACTATCAGTTAGATAACAGTTTGGGTCAGATGGTAGGTCAGCATAACCTGGGCAAAATCAACCTAATCTGTGGCAGCACCCGATACCAGCTGTGACACAATTTAGGAAATTAAGTAATGTCTTTATTGTAAATTTCTTGTAAACAGCCTAGTAAAAATGTTTTAGGGGGGTAAGCAGACACTTTTAAACAATCCAGCAAAATGCTTACATGAGAAAATCGGTGGGATGCCAAAGTATGACTTGATTTCCTTTGTTCCACCTGAAGAGAAAGTAGGATTGCAAAAAGGGAAGTGTTTACATAAACTGATAAAAAACTTGAGAATTCAGCAGAACACAGCCACGTGTTCATGCGCTTTCTTCCATAAAAGTCTCACCATGTCCAGCAGAGCCCCATTCACCTTCACTATGAGGGGAATCATACTTGCACTAGTGCTAAGCCACATAGCCTGTAAGCCTCCATATCCCTCTCCCAAAATTTCCTTGGGTTCAGTGGAAACAAATGGGTCTAGACTGAATGTTACTCATCTGGTTTTCTATCTCTTTTGCAGGTAGCCAGAAGTTTGATATTGGTAAGTAAATTTCCTTCTATGACCTTATTTTGATGACTGCTGTGATGCCTATTTATAAGAACGTGTTTATGGGATCATGAAAATGGTTGTTCTTGCCCACAGACCCTGGATTCAGTAGCAGAAAGAGCTACTTGTATAGCTATGAAGGCTGGGTGTTGAATGGACTTCAAGAAAGGAGTTTAGCCAAAGTTGGCGTGCGCTTGAGCTGCAAAGTAGAGATCAGTTGGCTGTCGGAGAACTCCTACCTCCTCAAGGTACCATGCCTGCTTCCAAAAGTACAGTACTGCAGTGAGCTGTACATCACAGTCAAGCAATTGCATCTGGCTAGTCTGAGGCTTAGGAAGGCTGTAGGAAACAAAACTGGACGCTCAGCCCGTAGGTGTCAGAATGATCTGCAAGCTGAAATTTCAGAAGTGATGAGTGATTTGGCATCCAGCCATTCAGAGGTGTTTGTTGTGGAAATTGTTCATAGCAGGTGTTCCTCAAGAATTTGTACCAGAAATAGAGGTGTGAAAATAAAGATTTCTGTTAGAAAGTGTTTATTTCTAACTCAAAGCACTGAACTCTGCTCTGATTTTAAGATGTGATTCTATTTTCAACACTCATTGCCAGCTTGTGTGGGAAGCCAGGACTTGGGTATGTAAAATCATTGTCATGCAGGCAATTAATTGATGTGTATTTTTAAAAAGTGCTGAGAGCTAAATATAATAAGAGGTAAGGTATTGAAGGTAAGAGGAAACAGTAAAAAACTGAAAGGCATTAAAAAGGAGCATCTAATAACATTTAATGTTTGGATAATGCAGTAAAAGATCTGTACGTATGAAATCATGTCTCTGCTGACATCAGTAGAGATGGGAACTGATCCATCTGAATTAAACACATTTCAGAAAATTCTTCTGATTTACATTGTGTCTTGGTAAGGGAGGGTGAAATAGTTTAAAAATCTAATGTTCATTATTAAAAAAAAAAAAAAAGGTTTATTTAAGCAATTCACAAATATGGATAAAATATAGCAACTAGTTTAGTTAAAAAAATGGAATAGGATGAGTTAAAATGAAACACTCTAAAAGTGTAATCTTTGACATACAGAATTCTATTCACTTTTAAAACACTGAATTTCACTTGAAGTGAATATTTTAAGGCTGAAAAAACAAGGATAATTTTATTTGAAAATTTTAATCACTTTTTAAATTAGCCTTTTTCCTTATAGATTAATGCAAATAAAATGTTGAAAATGTCCCTGGGCGATACTAGTGATATGTTAATTGCTCTGTAAGATCAAATAGCACTGCGGAGCTCACAGGGGTTGTACTGATGTTACAGTAGTGTAAGCAAGAGACAAAAGAATAAACTGCTGAGTGAATTTCTAAGCCAACATTTGGAAAGAAAGCATACCAAGCTAGTGATTATGTTGATTTCTCCATATCTGTTTGCATGTTTAGTACCAAAGTAATTTTGTTCACGTCAGTATCTTCTGTGAATTTTCCCCCAGATCCGCTCTCCACAATTTGAGGAATTCAATGGCATCTGGCCCAGGGACTCATTCACTCGGTCTTCCAAAATCACCCAGGTGGTTTCTTCATGTCTCACCCGGCCCTTCAAGTTTGAATACAGTAGTGGACGGGTTGGAAGCATTTATGGCCCAGAAGACTGCCCTGATACGTGTATTAACATAGTGAGAGGAATACTAAACATGATACAGATAACCATTAAGAAGTCGCAGAATGTGTATGAATTGCAAGAGGTTTGTTTTTTTCAATTTTAAAACTCTTTTTCTGAAAGGATGTGTCCTCTTTAGGTGGTCTTCCTATAAGTCTCTTTATTTGCATCTAGTTTCAAATATTTATCATCACAAAAAGTCAGTTGTCATTTATATAGAAGAAAGCATGTGAGTATGTGTTGAACAAACTATCTGTGCAGGATTTTTTAAAGATAACTGTGTTTAAGATTTAAACTGCAATCCTTTAAAGAAAAATCTATATTAGCTATGAATGTATTTGTTCTATGGCTTCCCTAGCACAGCTATTTGATCCATTCTATTTGTTCATTGTTGATATTATTTGATTACCTTTAAATTTTAGAGTACAGCCCCTGACTGAGTATTGTTTACACATCTGTGTTTTTTAGTTCACTAGGGTTAATCGTGTGTAATGGTAACAAGATCTGAAACATAATTAGGACACTTCTGTAGGTCCTTACCCTCCTACTGCTCCTTCAGAATCTTTGTTCAGTAAAATTCCTTCTCACAGTGAAATCGTGATATAACTGGGAAGTGTCATTATCTCTCTTGATCTGCCAGGCTGGAATTGGAGGTGTTTGCCATACAAGATATGTCATCCAGGAAGACAGGAAGAATAGCCGAGCCTCTGTCACCAAAACCATAGACCAAACCAACTGCCAGGAGAAGGTGACAAAGAGTGTTGGAATGGCTTACATCTATCCCTGTCCTGTTGACATGATGGTACGTGAGATGTGGAAAGATCTTCCTAATTAGAAGCATGCCCATTCTCTTCCAAATCACTCCTTGGGTCTCTCTGGCCTCTTCCAGAAAGCACGGCTCGTGAAAGGGACGGCAGCGTTCTCCTACAAACTGAAGCAGTCAGACAGTGGCACCCTGATCACAGAAGTGGTATCACAGCAAGTCTACCAGATCTCACCATTCAGTGAACCTACTGGTGTTGCTGTCATGGAAGCAAGGTACATGGGAAGCAAGGGGTGCATGGAATTGCTTTACAGAGTGAAAATATTTGTAGATTCTGGCAGTCCTTTTCAGCCCCAGTGGAAGAGAAATAACAATTGAGCTCCACAGCAGTTGGGTAAAGCTGTGAGTACCCATACTTGGGGTTTCTATAATCCTGAAAATTCAGTGAACTGTTCTTTATTTGTACCCTGGTGAACTTGGTACTACAATTACATGGAAGAAAAGCTCTTTTGCTCACTCACACTATAAGAATTCAACTTTACTACTCTGTCCTAATTTTTAGTGTCAGGAGGAAGATGGTGCACATAGAAATAAGATCATTGATTACACTGAGCCACTGGCTCTCATTCAGAAGACAGCAGCTTAACTCCTCCTCAGAAATAATTTCATTTTAGATAAATAATTTTATTTTGTTCCAATTAGAGGGTTTATCCATTAGTGAGCTGTAAGATTTTACTGTAATAAGAAAAATGTTTAAAGAGCAGAACTGATACCATCACAATATTGCTGAGCCAACAAACAGCCAAGACATATGGAGGAAGGCAGCTGATTCATTCCTCCTGTGGCACTTGTCTCTTGACAGACAACAACTCATCTTGCTTGAAGTGAGGAGTGAGAGGGCAAGTGCCCTGGACATTTCCCTGCAGAGCTACGGGAGCCTTCGTTACCGCTTCCCATCATCACTGCCACAGATGCCACTGCAGCTCATCAGGACAAAAAACCCTGAGCAACGGGTATAGTATTTTTAGGTCTTCAAATTGCTTTCCTAATTAAAAAAATTGATAAAAGAGTAATGACCATGAATTCCAAAGGATTTAATTATGTATGCCCTGTGTCTCTCTCGTGTTTTGTAACAGATAGTAGAAACCCTGCAGCACATAGTCGTGAATAACCAACAGGATTTCCACGACGATGTTCCATACAGATTCTTGGAGCTCGTTCAGCTCTGCCGGGCAGCGAGCGCTGATGCTCTGGAGTCCATCTGGAGACAGTTTTCAGATAAACCCCGCTACAGGTATTTAATCCTATCAATTTATGACTTCTCCATTTTTGGAGAAGTGAAAGGTAAAGTTAAGGATTTTTTTCAACCTGCTTGCAGGCGATGGCTGCTGAGCGCAGTTCCTGCGACAGGCACCACAGAAGCACTCAAATTCATTAAGACCAGAATTCGCAATGATGACCTGAGCTACCTTCAGACTCTTCTCAGTGTTTCTTTTGCTCTCCATTTAACGAAAGCTGATGAAGACAGTGTTCCTATAGCAGCAGTGAGTAAACCCATGTGAATCTTCCTTATCTGATAACAAAAGGAATGATGATCGAGGACAACCTTGGATTATAAAGTAGATTAGGGACTGGACTCTCCTCTCCTGAATGCATTTTGCACAAATATTGAACCATGAATTTCTTTTGGCACTACATACATGAGAAGCGGCACACTCCTTGTCTTTATTTGCTACATAAATACAAAAGCTTCTGAGAATGATTCCCATTTATTTTACTGGGATCATGTCATGCTTTCTACAGGCAAAACTTTGTCCACTTCAGTCTCTTACTTCTGAAACAAATGGTGATTTGTGTGTTGTGTTACTTGAATATCTCTTTTAATTGCAAACTATTCCTATGAACTGGAAAGTTCTGCAAGAGAAAGTATTTGTGCAAACATAAATTATTTTGACAAAATAATGAATCAATTTATAATGAAGAAATTAGCAATATTCTGATTTTTTTTTGCCATTTCTAGTCTATATTCTTCTTAAATAGGAATAAAGGATATTATGTCAGAATGCATCATTAATATAATTGAGTTGCACTTAGTTCTAAGAATATTCCATTTATAGATTGATGTTTACCTATTATCTTTGTATTTTCAATGTTATGCTCAGCTGAGGGAAATCAAAAGGGTACTATGTAAACTTATATATATTGAAACTAGTGGGAAATTAGGTTACTAAGTGAAGCTTGCAAATAGAATATTTACAAGATGGTTTAATTTGTTTGGATGCTCCCTTCAGACAAGCTCTGATGATTTTCCTGCTCTGAAAGCTGTGCAAAGCAGTTTTTTAATACCTTTTTTTTTTTACCTTTTTTTTTTTACCTTTTTTTTTTTACCTTTTTTTTTTTACCTTTTTTTTTTTACCTTTTTTTTTTTACCTTTTTTTTTTTACCTTTTTTTTTTTACCTTTTTTTTTTTACCTTTTTTTTTTTACCTTTTTTTTTTTACCTTTTTTTTTTTACCTTTTTTTTTTTACCTTTTTTTTTTTACCTTTTTTTTTTTACCTTTTTTTTTTTACCTTTTTTTTTTTACCTTTTTTTTTTTACCTTTTTTTTTTTACCTTTTTTTTTTTACCTTTTTTTTTTTACCTTTTTTTTTTTACCTTTTTTTTTTTACCTTTTTTTTTTTACCTTTTTTTTTTTACCTTTTTTTTTTTACCTTTTTTTTTTTACCTTTTTTTTTTTACCTTTTTTTTTTTACCTTTTTTTTTTTACCTTTTTTTTTTATCCCATATAGGATTTAATGACCAGTTCTCGAATTCAGAAAAGTCCCATGCTTCAGCAAGTTGCCTGCTTGGGATACAGCTCTGTGGTCAATAGATACTGTTCTCAGACCTCAGTTTGTCCTAAAGAAGCTCTTCAGGTAGGTGGCTTTTTTGTTAGGTTGCTCATAATAGCTTCGTAATGGTCCTTACATTAGCTTAATTATTTTAAGATACATTACAAAAATGTCAGTTGGACTTCCATATGCATATTTCTTAGGTCTTCTTCAGAACAAAAGCATTTTAGATACGTGGATATTTGTTTCTATGGCAAAGCACCATTTTCACATTGTAGGGTAAAACCCTCAGAGAAGTCATTACCAAGTTATTTTATTAAACCCACCTGGTTTATTGCAATAGGCTTTGCAGGGGGTGAGGGGAACACTGTGGACAATGAGGAAGAAAAGACTGAACTGTGTTTTGCCTATAGCCCATCCATGACCTGGCAGATGAAGCAATCAGCAGGGGCCGTGAAGAGAAAATGAAATTAGCTCTGAAGTGCATTGGCAACATGGGAGAACCAGCCAGCATCAAGCGCGTCCTGAAGTTCCTTCCCATATCTTCATCCAGTGCTTCTGATATCCCCATCCACATTCAGATTGATGCCATAATGGCCTTAAGAAAAATAGCTTGGAAGGACTCCAAAACAGTAAGTAGCATCTGTCAGGGATTTCGTAAAGAATTAAAGAATATATACTGGAAGGGTAATGAATTTAATGGTATCATGTGTATGGAATCGACATGTTTGCAGAAAATAAGATTATTTTTAAGAACATCACAATAAAGTTTTGTATTTCAGATGATGTTTTCTGCTAAGCTGTATCAATTTTTAGTCAGTAGGAAGCTTCCAGAATATCACTAGTGTTTCTTTAGTCATCTGTCATAGCCAAGTAAATTCTGTGCTACCTATATATGGTAGAAATGTAGCCACCTAAAAGTCAGACATATAATTTAAACTGCCTCAGTAGTCAGGAGGAGAGAAAGACACTTTCTATTGACCTCCTAGGCAAAATGTTGACATGGTTCTGCCTCTGTTAGACCCTTCCCGTAAGTCTGGGTGAGTCACCACTGACCTCTAGCTGGGATAAAACTCCTGTCTTTCAGAGGGTTTAGATACAGGACTTACATGAGAGAGCATCTGTTTTTGGTGAGGTGCTGAAGTGGTCTAAAATAGTGAAGCATGCTCACAAAGTCAGCGGCCTCACCCCGAAAAATGAATCTGTCTTATTAGCTACAGTAGTTTCTTCCAAAGTTGTTCACCACCTTTTGAATGTCAGTAATGTAAAAAGTTGTGCTGATGACTTTTTGACTGTGATGGGTTGACCCTGTCACAGGCTGGATGGAGAATGAATTGAGAACAGCCATGAGGACTTGGGGGTGGGGTGTTTGTTGATGAGAAGGTCCACAGGAGCTGGCAATGTGTGCTTGTAGCCCAGAAAGCCAACCATATCCTGGGCTGCGTCAAAAAAAATGTGGCCATCAGGTCAAGGGAGGCAGGTCCAGTCTGCAAAAGAAGACTCAATTATTGGTAATTCCAGACACTGTTTTCTCTCTGCAGGTGCAGGGATATCTTATCCAGATCCTTGCAGACCAGTCGCTTCCCCCCGAAGTGCGAATGATGGCTTGTGCTGTTATCTTTGAGACAAGGCCTGCCCTTGCTTTGATAACAACGATAGCTAATGTGGCAATGAAGGAGAGCAATTTGCAAGTGGCCAGTTTTGTGTATTCCCACATGAAAGCTTTGTCAAGGAGCAGATTGCCATACATGTACAACATGTAAGTAGACAGAACGAAGTGAGCAATTTTCTGCAAGTAGTAAGTTCTGCTACATTCTTGTTAGTGAGCATTGCATCTGCTGACCAGCTGAATTCAGTTTATATTCTAATGGGGAGCAGCTTACTCCTGGATATTATTACCTTTCTCATTTTGTTTAGATCTTCAGCTTGCAATATTGCCCTCAAGCTGCTGGCCTCCAAACTGGACAGGCTGAGCTATCGGTACAGCAAGGTCATGCATATGGGTGCTTACTTTGGTGAGTGAAAAGGTTTCAGTGACCAGGAAACTTTCCCTTCAGAAATCCACTCTCAGGAGAAGCCAAACCTTTTGGACAAATTCTGTGTTTCAATAAGAAATGTAATTAATTGTGACAGTCGTGTATTTAAAAGTGCATGAGTGGCCATTTCTTAATTTGGGCCTGAACAGTTAAAATGTAAGTAATGATCTATCTTAGAGCTGGCAATGAAAAAGGCTGCAGAAATACGATCTGGAATGATAATCAGAGTGGTTAGAAAAAACATGTCTTTTGTTTATTTCTACCATAGATAACTACAAAGTTGGTGCTGCTGGAGATATCTTTATTATGAACAGCCCAGGAACCATGTTCCCATCAGCAGTAATTTCCAAGCTGATGACATATTCTGCAGGGTCAGTGGCTGATTTGGTGGAGGTAAATATTGACCTAAATCAATAATAAAGCAAATTAAAATTAAAATTGACCACAAAGTTTTTTCTCAGGAAGTATGTTTCAGAGTGCTCCTTTTCATGCTGTTTTGGTAGGCTGGTGTCCGTGTGGAAGGCCTCACTGATGTCATCATGAAACAAAAGATCCCGTTTGCTGAATATCCCACATACAAAAAGATAAAGGAGATTGGAAAAGCTGTGGGTATTTTCAGTAATGCAATGGTGGGTTATATGAGGGAGTATTTAGTGAGAATTCTTGTACTAGTCAAGCTCTGTCTCAGAAGGCAAGCTGCCCATCTAGCAGTCAGCTCAAATATTGCTGTGGAGAGCTCTGTGGTAGAGCTGCAGGGGACATCACCCCTGCAATAGGTGGGCATTGCAGCGCTGTCTGGGTCTCGTGCCTGGCAAGCTTCCTCCTCCCTTCCTTCATCTGCCTCAGTTTACAAGAGAATATACCTTTGCCTTCAAGAGAAAAGGTGATTTGTTGCTGTGCTTTCAAACTGGGTTTAGTGGTACTAATAGCCCAGACCCTCTGTATGAATGTTGTTACACAGGGACACAAACCACTGGCTGGGAGGCTTTTCCTGGGCATGGAATGACAGGGAGCAAGTCTGAGCTAGTGACTCTGTACTCTTTACAAAGCAGCAAAGAAATGCAAACAGAAATGGAAAGCTGCAGCTTGGTCAGTGATCGGTTTCATGCCTTGTTGAATTACCATTTGCAAGTCAATGCATTAAGGAACTTTATCTGTTCCCCAGCTGTTGGGATGGAAGGAGCTGCCAACAGAAACCCCCTTGGTATCAGCCTACTTGAAAATACTTGGCCAAGAGATGGGCTACATCAGCATCAATAAGGAAGTCCTGCATCAGGCTATGAAGGTACCAGGGACCCTCAGTTTTCTTTGCAAGATTTGACACCCCTGCACTTTTATATCCTAACCTCTTGGATCTGTGTTGTCCTGCAGTCCGTGCTAGAGCCTGCTGACAGGAACACAGTGGTGAAGAGAATTGCCAGCCAGATCCGCAACGGCATCGCAGGACAGTGGACACAGCCGGTGTGGCTGGGAGAGCTGCGACACATCGTTCCCACCTGCACGGGTCTGCCCCTGGAGTATGGGTCATACACCACTGCTCTGGCCCGGGCAGCACTCCAGGGTGAGTGGGGAAGCCTGAGATCAGCTGTGCCAGCTCTGAGCAGGGGATGAGAGGGACAGAAAAAGAGGGGCTGGAGAAAGTGCTGGAAGAACAGAAAGTTAGAAAAATAATTAGGTTTTGTTGTGGAGGGGAGGTGGTGAAGATGTTTGAAGAGCTGGGCACAGCTGTTTTCTGCCCCATCTTTGAATGGATTGAAGGCAGAGGAGGTGAGGGGAGAATCTGGGAAACCAGCAAGAGAAAGGTATTCTGGTGTTCAAGGAGAGAAGACAAAAAGAGCTGCATGGGGAGCTGACTGCAGACATGGGCAGAAAGGGGTGGTTCCTCAAGATGCTCACACAAGTTAAGCAGGATTCAGTGGTAATTTAAACAAAGAATGTAGAAGGCAATCAAAAGAGAACTACTAACATTAGAGAAGGCAGGAAAATAAGAAGGCTTGTGAAAAGAGTCAAAGTTCTGGTTTAACAGAATAAATACTCAAGTATGAATACTCATCAGGAAGTTATATCAGTGAACATACAGCTTGTTGTGCAGCAGACTTTCTATTTAGCCACATTGTCTGACCCTTCCTTTTGCTGACATTACATAAGGAATAAAGTGTGAAGTACATGTACTTTTGTTCTTTTTACAAGTCTCATATGTGCTCACGCTTGGCTGCTCTTGTAGTTTGTTTTAGTAGCATCTTTGAACACCCACATGTCCTTCACCTGGGATGGAGTAACCCATGCCAGTGGATGGGCTGAGCAGCACTCACACAGAAAGCAGCTTTGCAGAGGTCAGTGAGGCCTGGAGGACAAGCTGGTACAGTGAATCAGCAGTGTTCTCTTGTGGTGGTGGAGGCCAACTGCATCAGTGCCTGCAAGAGCAGAGCTAACATAGAAATGTTAGCTCTCTTCCCCCTCTATTTAGCACATCTGAGTCTGCACCTGGAGTACAATGTCTGATTTGGGGTCTGTAGTACAAGAAAGATGTTCACACTTGATATGAGGATAGATGGAAAGGCAGGGTTTGCTTAGCTTGAATGCCCATCATTCATTCTGTCTTCTGGATCCATTTGTTTCTAAAATTTTAATGTTAATACTACTTAAAAACTTTCATTTTTTGTCAGCTTTCTGTTTTCTTACTATGTTTTACTTCCTTTTGCAATGTTGCATCATAACATTTGCCTACAGAACAAACTAAACTTTCTGTGATTTTAACTATTTTCCAGACTAATAAAGGACCTCATATACCTGAAAGTCTGTCTTGTTTTCCAGCCGTATTTGTTGCGTTAACAAAAGTATTACCTCTTCCTGGAAACTGTCTTGCTCAAATTCAGATAGTTTATTTCACTTTTACCATTTTTAAATGTCATTCTGCCATTTGCAGTTGATGGAAAGGTGACTCCCCCTTTAACTGGAGATTTTAGACCTTCCCAGTTGCTTGAATCCACCATTCAGATTCGGTCTGACATAAACCCAAGGTATGACAGGTTTCTAACATATGATGGACATTTTTAAATGAAAAGGCAGATCCATGTGTTAAAAAACATCTCTTTTGCATCTGACCACTTCACTCTGTTTCAGCTTATACATACATACAGTTGCAAGCATGGGGGTCAACACAGAATACTTCCAACATGCTATTGAAATTCAAGGCAAGGTCCTGGCAAGAGTGCCAATGAAGTTTGATGCCAAGATAGATATGAAACAGAAAAATATTAAGATTGAAGCAAATCCATGCCGTGAGGAGACGGAGATAGTGGTTGGCAGGTACAGTAGCATTACTTCTGAATAGTTCTGGTTGCTGAAACTTTACAGAAGTTCATTGTTCACTGGCTTCTTACAGAAGTCTTTAGACAGGCAGAGTCGCTTTGCAGTGGGTAGTAGAATCTCTAAGGTAAAGAGCAAGGAAAAGAAAAAGGGGAATTAAAAGTCAAAGATACCTTAATGACTTAGGTGTTTAGATTTTATTTTACTTTATTATTTTGTGGGTTTGATTTTTGTTTATTATTTTACTGTCTTTCATGGGGTTTAATTCTTATTTTCAAATGAATGCCTTTCATGTTTTGTAAATTTGTTTAAGTTTTTCCAGATTTTTAAAGATTCCTGTTGTATAAAAGCTGATGTTTGTCATGAACTCTTGTCCTTAATAATATTCATACTGATAGTTGCATATACAACACCTATGTTCAAACAACACATCTCTGTGCTGTCACATGATACTGACAGGGATATATTTCAGTTAATCCAAAGACAAGGCCTTGGAATAATTCACCATTTTTTATGCATATCTTAACAGACACGAGGCTTTTGCTGTCTCAAGAAATATAGGAGAGCTAGGTGTTGAAAAGAGGACTTCCATTCTCCCAGGAGATGCTTCATCAGATATTGTGGAAGAACCTTTCAAGCCATCAGAGAGAGTTTCCAGTGAGAGTTTCACAAGGGTAACCTTTTCCTTTTTGCTTATACAGTACTATTTGCCCTCTCTTTGCTGCACGTGTCTGCAGTTTTACTCTTGCCTGTGATGTGCTCCCAGTGGTATTCACTTCCCCCTTTCCAATGCAGACAGGAGCTGACAGCACGCCAAGGAAACACGCCGATATCTCCCAGGAGGCTCTTCCCCATGACAAAGGAAGAAAAACTCATAAACAAGACATTTGCACCAAACTGCCCCACCTTGGTTGCCAGCTCTGCTTTTCCGGAAAGTCCCGAGATGCCAGTTCCCTAAAAAATACGTATTTGCACAGATTAATTGGAGAACATGAAGCTAAAATAGTCTTGAAGCCAGGTACAATTCTGAGCACAAGCCTTGTCAAATTAGGTTTGCTGGTGCTATTTGTAGTGATATAACCTTCTAATGTGTGTGATTGGTGTGTAGTTCAAACAGATGCTGATATTGACAAAATACAGCTGGAGATTCAGGTGGGATCCAAAGCAGCCTCCAAAATAATAGATGTGGTAAACTCGGAGTCTGAGGAAGACAAGGAGTCATCTCCATATGAGGATATGAAAGCTAAACTGAAGAAGATTCTAGGCATTGAAAATGTGTTCAAGGTAAGAGACTTTGAGCATGGAAGGGGAAATGTTTTCCCATAAACGAACCCAAGGATTTGAAGTTCAATGTGGAAAATGGCATGGGAAAGCAAGGATGGCACTAGTTTGAAAGATGACAGTGCCAGGCCTGCCAGCCAGTGGCACATCTGGATGGACTGATCCAACAGGGTGCATTCAGCTGGGGCTGGTCATCCATGCTGGGCTGGTTTTCACCTAGGCAGAGTGGATTTAAGGGCATTATGCAGCTTCTGCAGTGAGTGAAGCAGGGAAGTTGTTGTTCTTTGAAAGGCTGATGTGAGAAGCTTGTCTGACACCCAGGGCAGTTTTACTTTGTAAATACAGGAGCAGATGTATTCACTCTCTTGCATTTCTCTTTAATCTGTTTTTGCAGGTTGAAAATAAAACACCACACCGGAAGAAGCAACCTCCTAAGAAAGCAAACAGTGTCCTAACAGAGCTTGAGACAGACCCTGATGCAAAAAAACCTTCCATCTCATCTTCTGCCTCCTCAACTGTCTCATCTGATTCCTCATCATCTGCTGCTTCTTCTGATCGTAAAAAGGCTGTGGATGGAGATGAGAATGATCAAACAAAGCAAGTAAGAAACAAAGATGCAAGCAGCAAGAGCAGCAGCAGCAAGAGCAGCAGCAGCAGCAGTAGTAAAGATAGCAGCAGAAGTAGTAAGAGCAGCAGTAGCAACAGCAAGAGTAGCAGTAGCAGTAGTAGTAAAGATAGCAGTAGTAGTAGTAGGAGCAGCAGTAGCAGTAGTAGTAGTAGGAGCAGCAGTAGTAGGAGGAGGAGCAGTAGTAGCAGCAGTAGTAGTAGTAAAGATAGCAGCAGTAGTAGCAGCAGCAGTAGCAACAGCAAGAGTAGTAGCAGCAGCAGCAGTAAAGATAGCAGTAGTAGTAGTAGTAGTAGCAGCAGCAGCAGCAGGAAGTCATCAAGTCACCATAGCCATGGGCATCACTTAAGCCATGTGAATGGCAGCAGTAGCAGCAGCAGCAGCAGCAGCAAGTCATCGAGCCACCATAGCCATCGGCATCATTCAGGACATCTGGAAGACGGCAGCAGCAGATATTCCAAAATATGGGTAAATTTATCAGTAACTTGACTGATGTTGCTAATGTTAGTGAATCAGTTTCCTGATGGCAGCTGGCTTTGCATCATATTTCAGGAAAATATGACTTGACACAGTAAATTTTACCAAGATAAAATGGCAACATTTTTTCTGCAAATACACCTGCAATCATTGGCTCAGATGTCTGCTTGAAGGCATCTCAAAAGTTTCCTCAATTTTGTTGAAACTTTTGTTATAGAGAGGGAACAATTTTTGCCAGTTTGCTACTTTCTGTCAACACACATTGCATGCTTCTGTCTTCATTGTGCTGTGGGAACATTAATGCTTTATATAAATTACTTCAAGTCTTGCATTATGTGCTTGTGACTAAGCATAAAGAACTATATATGAATGATAATTAGTAAAATCCCTAATTCGCATTGGTCAGATTCCAATGTAATTGCAGTTTTTTTTTTTCTTTTGAGACTTTTAATCTTCTTATTTTTCTCATTTTCAAAGGAAGATCAAGAGATTTATCAGTTTCACTTTAAATCAGCGCACAGACAAGAGGTGAGTTTTTTCTTTCCTCTGTATATTAAGTATGGAATCTGTCATGAGGCAAATGGAATTCTTAAAGGCAACTTGTCTTTGTTGAGGAAAATTACAGTACTGAAAACATTTAGAACATCCAATCAACCATGATGGTTCTTCTGAAATGCATAAAGACAGAGACATATGTTGTCTTTTTTGTTGTGCACATGATGCTATTTGTGTCTCTGCAAAGTAGACACAAAGTTATACCAAAGCAGTACAAAGGACTGGAGATGCACACTTTGAAGGAAAAAAAAAATCCTACCATCAAAAGACTGGGTGGTTTGACTGGCTTTGATCACTTGGTTTCTTGGTTTGGAATCACTGTTGATACACACAAGGATAGGGATGTTGACAAATGTGGGAGGATACCTCATTTTATGGTACTTCAGCAGAATATTCTTACTTGAGCCATGAGGCAGTCAGGAGCAGTGTACTTGACGTTAGAGTTCCTCAAAAAGTAAGAAGTTCAGCTGTGTGTGTCCATTCAGTTGATTGTTTGCATTCAGCTGGTCCATTCAGTGTGACCTCCAGTTGATCAGACTCTCCTAGAAGTAAAATGAGTAAGTTCTGATCTTTCATATTGTATTGAAAAGCTGGTTTAATTTGACTTGCTCTGGTCCATTGTTGTTTCCCACAGAATTCTCATCTAGACATCTTCCTTTTTTGTTTCTTCTGAAGGATCGAATATATCAGGGGAAACAAGATTTTTCAGGGCTAAATCACATGTACTAAGCGGACAAGGCATATGGCAAATCGCTGAGCTGCTCAGGGTTGGAACACGTTTACCAATACCAAGTGCCAAGACAGAAAGTATTCTGCAGCACTGCCTGGTGCAATTTCTTCAAGCATGATTTTAAACTACCTTCTTGAGCATGATGTTGTTTTCTTCTTGCAGTTCCCAAAAAGGATACACCCAGCTGACATACTTAGCAGTGCCTCCTCCTCTACCAGATCCAGTCATGCCTCATCTCGAGCTGATTCCCAGGTTAGTTCCATCATTTTTAGTGGGTTTTAACAGCTTGGAAGAATGGCAGAGTGACCATGCACTTGCAGTAATTGTACGGTTAGGGTACTGGGAAGAGAGAAGCACCAACCACTCAAGTTTCAGATGTCGTACAATAAAGACATGCATGGGAGTTTATAGGTGTCTATATATGTGTGGTACATATGTTGGTGTATATTTGCAGTTCAATTGCTTATTTTCATATATCCATCTAGATCTTGCATCTAAAATGTTCCATGGTTACTATTTTATAATTACATTCTTTGCATACTCTCTCCCCCTTCTTCTTAGCCCAAGTTTTTGGGAGATGTTAAACCACCAGTGTTAGCTGTTTTTCTTCATGGCATTCGTAACGATAAGAAGACAGGAGGCCTCCAGGTCGTGGTATATGCTGATACTGACTCCCTCAGGCCACGCGTGCAGGTATTTGTATCAAACCTCACAGACTCAAGCAAGTGGAAGCTCTGTGCTGATGCTTCAGTCCTCAATGCTCACAAGGCATCGGTAAGGGTCAAAAACAGTTGCATACAGCTGTCTGCATCCCAGGAAAACCACGTTCCATGCATTTAAACATGGGCTATTTCTGTCTCCATCGTAGGCCTACCTGAAATGGGGCCGGAATTGCCAGGATTACAAGATTGCAACTGAGCTGGTAACAGGGCGATTTGCTGCCCATCCTGCTGTACAAGTGAAACTGGAGTGGCCTAAAGTTCCTTCAAGTGTCAAATCTATAGCAGAATGGTGAGATTTTAGTCTTTAGTGACTCTCATTTGTTACTGGTCAACTGTGGAAAATCAGCATCCACCCATGAGGTTGTAGCAGTTAAAGTACTGGCTATTATTTTGTTCTCTCATCTGTCTGAGTTCTGCCTTTGGATATAAAAGCTGAGTGGGAGATCATAGCCCTCTTATTGTAATGCAAAGTAATTCTGTATCATGGATATAATAACTGAAAACTGAGGAACAGATCCTTCCTTGCACTGAACACTAGCTCAGTAAAGCAGACTGGTCACAGGGACCTAGCCAGTGATCCTGAAGACTATATATGTGACTTGCAGATCTGAGACAGCTTGGCTGGGATGTTGTTGCTTTTTGCATCTCTATTTCACCAGATCTTTCTGATTTGAATTTCTGAAGGTTTTACAAGTTTGTCCCTGGAGCTGCGTTTATGCTGGGGTTTTCTGAAAAAGTGGACAAGAATCCTTCTCGACAAGCCAGAGTGATTGTGGCTTTAACTTCTCCGAGGACATGTGATGTTGTTATCAAGCTTCCTGATGTAATTATGAGATATTATTACTGCTGTCCTCTTTTTTCCAAGTAGAAAGTTGAGACTTGCATTTTAATTAGTGTATCAATTCTGAGAAAGAAAAAATAAGTGAGCATCATTTAGGGTGCAAATTATTAAAATAATTTTATTTCAGCCTTTTTATATTACATCCAAGAATACTGATAGAGTTATTTTGTTCATGGAAAAAGAGAATGCAATGGGTACTCAGAAAGACATGCAATTCCATCTCTAGTATCACCCTGTGTTCACCTCATCACCTTTGAAGGCAAGGAATTAATCCCCTCCCAAATAATTACTGAATGATGACCCACACCATGACAGAAAACCATAAGCAGAAGCAAAAACCTCCTGGAGAGTGAGTCAGATGAGTTGTCTCTGCCAAGTTGTTGTCAAACCAAAGTAGAAGAAATAGAAATCAAATTTGAAAAAGGAGAAAAAGCTGATCTCTGCTGTTTGCTGCGAATGACTGGCACAAGTGTATTTTGAATGTGCTTTTGAATTCCTTTTCAGATTATCCTCTACGAAAAAGCCATGAGACTTCCCCTGTCACTCCCAGTAGGTCCAAGGATACCAGCATCAGAGCTGCAGCCTCCCATCTGGAATATCTTTGCTGAAGCCCCCTCTGCAGTGCTCGAAAATTTGAAAGGTCAGGGTCTGATCGTGTTCAGATCTGTGACATGCTCTGTCTCTGAAATTACTTGAGCACCTTCTGAATTTTTCTGGGATTATTGGTCTCCAGTTAAATAGGAAATGGGCTGTAATAAGAGGGCTGGAGCACCTCTTTTATGAAGATCGGCTGAGGGAGTTGGGGTTGCTCAGCCTGAAGAAGAGACTCTGGGGTGACCTTAAAGTGACCTTCCCATACCTAAAAGGGGCCTACAAGAAGGCTGAGGAAGACCTGTTCACTTGAGCATGTAATGATAGGACAAGAGATAATGGTTTTAAGCTAGAGAAGGGTAGATTTAGGTTGGAAACTAGGAAAAAGTTCTTTAATATGAGGGTGGTGGATCATTGGAATGGGTTGCTAGAGAGGTGGTGGGTGCCCCATCCCTGGAGACATTCAAGGTCAGGCTTGATGGGGCTCTGAGCAATCTGGTCTAGTTTGAGATGTCCCTGGTTATTGTAGGGGGGTTGGACTAGATGACTTTTAGAGGTCAGTTCCAACCCAAGACTTTCTATGATTCTAACATGGTTCAACTGGGAGAGAATATTGTGCATGTAGTACAGAAAGCATCAACATTTCAGGGACCAAGATACCAATTACCTGAATTGACAACACTTAAACTTTCTGGCAATTATTTTTTTGTTAGATAAGGGAGCATATTTTAACACTTTTTATAGAATTTACGAGTACTTAGTAGCTAAAAGCCCCCGTAATGCATGCAAAAATATCATGCAGTGGAAAAAAAAAAAAAGCTAAAATAATATAGCACTAAAAATAAAATCTGCTATTTAATTACTTTATTTTATAGAAAAGCAAATACTGACTGGCATTTCCTTTCCCCAGCGAGCTGCTCAGTTTCCCGCAGCAAGATCACAACCTTTAATGAAGTTCGGTTTAATTACACGATACCAGCAAACTGCTACCAGATCTTGGCTCAGGATTGCAGCCCAGACCTCAAGTTCCTGGTGATGATGAGGAATGCTGATGAAGCTATGAACCTCAAAACAATCAACATCAAGTTGGGCAGTCAGTAAGTAACTCCTGCCAGATGCTGGGAATGTGAGGGAATAACACTGAACGTGAGAGGAGCTTAGATCTGAGCTTTATTGCAATGGGCATCCCATGGATTTCAGCATTTCCCTTCTTTACTTCCCATGTGTATTGAATGTGATGCTGATGATCTTATCCTGCATCTTAGGTGACAAGACACTCCTGATGCAATTTAAGTAGTTGAAACAAGCTTATGCTGTGACCAGGGATATTTAGGGAGCTGGAAAATACTTTTGCCCCTGCATGTGCATGAATGTGACACAAACAGGGCATCAATACTTCTCTCCCTCACAGTGAAATCGATATGCGTCCTGTGAGCGGACAGCTGAAACTGCTGGTGGATGGGGTTGAAAGCACCAGAGAAAATGCTTCATATGTATCTGATGGTAAGTGATGCAGCATCTGCTTTGCTTCATTTTCAGGTATGTGTTAGGAAAAAGATTCTTTTAAAATTTTTTGGTCTTTTTAATGACATCAAAAGCATTCCACTGGCTTGTGTTCAGTAAGTATTTCTTCCTTTGGTTGTAAGGATAATATTTCTTAGTTTGGATGTTAGGAAAAAGTTCTTTCCTGTGAGGGTGGTGAGATGCTGGAACAAGTTGCCCAGGGAGGTTGTGGATGCCCCCTCCCTGGAGGTCTTGAGCAACCTGATCTAGCAGGAGGTGTTGGAACTAGATGATCTTTAAAGTCCCTTTCAAGCCAAACCATTCTCTGATTCTATTTAAGAACATGTATTTTATTCACGTGCATAGGAATATTTAGAAATACTGATTAGAGTGTAAAACTCTTGAAGTGGTGAAACAAACTCTGGCTGGAGTTCCAAAGTTGAGAAGTGTTTTTGGTTATACTAGAAAATCTTACTTGAGTAAAGCTTTTTGAAGTAGAGCTTTTCTAAGATTCACCACACTTGTAAATCACTTGTATATTTGATTTGTAGGCATAAATTTGGATAGAATTCTGAAATATGATAGGAATAAATATTGAGAACTGGTAAAAGAGCCTGCTTGCTTCTTTCAAATCATGAACAGTTTTTATCTGTGAAAGGACACAATAAGACCTTGCTTCATTCTGTGCTAAGCAGGTAATATGCAAAACAAATGTTCCCTGACTGTAGAGCTGGAGTATATGAATCAGGCTAAGTCTTGGATTAGATGCTGCCAGTGCTTAGCTCTGTCCTATTTGTTACCTACCTGAAAAGTGATAATTGAGCCAGAAAGGGCTCCAGTGACAGTCACAGTGTTCTTTTGCATTTCCTTACTCCATTATAGTGTACTCAGGACCTTGTACTTCTGTACAACTACACAGACACTATGGACAGCTCTATAGGCATTTCTAAAAATGAGTATGTTAATAACCCAAAGACAGATTAATAAATTTGTGATAATTAAAATTGTTTTCCAACTTTTCACAAACACCTGTTTTCTATATATACATGTCTACATTATTTTGCTATATGTTTTGTTTCTGTAATATAACAACTGAGGAATTTCAAGGAAAAAACCCAACATTTTAGAAACACAACAGTTGCTTTTTTCATTCTTAAAGAAGCTAGGTTGGGTCTGTTTTGATTTTACTTTTTTTTTATTTTGTTTGTTTTGTTTACTTCTAGGTGCTTCCCTGTGGATCTACAATGAAAAGCAAGGGCTTGTACTCATTGCTCCAACCTATGGCATTGACAAATTGTACTTTGATGGATACACATTCAGGGTATAGTTCTTCCTCTTCATAAGCTTGGGTGTTGAGAAATTTCTGCATGATTCCCTTAAGTCTGTATATATGAGTGCAAAATATACAGTGGCATAACCAAATCTGTGGAAGGCCCCAAAACCCAAAAGGAAAGATGACACTACAGGGTTGCACAGTCCTGCTCTTTCTTTCTGAGCAGAAGTGAGAATCTTTCACTGCCAAAAATACCTTATTCTTGCAGTACAAGTGTGTGTTGGGAGATGGGGCTGTGAGTGTACAGACTGAGCCAGCAGTGCATTTGCAGGAAAAATGAGGTTTAATCTCCTGTCTGCTGCTCTTGTGGCTGTATAATTCTTCAAATTGGCAAAAATTAAGCCATTATTTTAAGATGAACAAATGTTTTAAAGGCTGCACTAAAAGCAGTGTGAAATGAGACTGTAAGAAATTGGTAAATCATACCCTATCTATCACCTGGACTACAAAAATTACCCATCAGGCAAAAGCTTCAACATGTTAATAAGTTTAGACTAGGAGTAATTAACGTACTAGACTGGCACGTTAGGTTTTAAAAGCTGTAACAGAGTTAAAGATGCTGCAGCACCATGGGAGTTTGGCATCTGACTGTCAGACCCTTTTGAATTCTTAGCAAATAGATTTTAAGTATTTGTGCATTAACTTATACTGGAAGGGACCTACATAACAAAAATCTGCTCTGTAGGTTTGTGGGTTTTTTTAACTTGCAATGGTTTTGTGTTTTTGTTTTGTTTTCCTCAAAGATCCAAGTTGCTTTATGGATGGCAGGGAAAATGTGTGGACTGTGTGGAAGATATGATGCAGAATGTGAACAGGAATATCGGATGCCCAACGGATATCTAGCTAAAGATGCAGTGAGCTTTGGACATTCTTGGATTTTGGAAGAAAAGCTTTGCAGAGGAGGTATGCAAGCTCTAATAATTTTAATATAATGTTACTGCTGTTGTATAGATAATGTAGAATTAATTTACAAAATTTAAAGTCTGTAAACATTTTGAAATAAGCATTTTAAAAGGGTTCATTATTAAATTTTAAGAAGTATAAAAAGTATTTGTCAGTTTAGAAAGGAATAAGAAATTACAAGTTATACAAATGAGCAAAAAACCACAAGTCAGTTGAAATTAACAGATCAAGCTGAAACAAAATCTTTGTTTCAGTTTTGAAGTGTTTTAGAAGATAAGAAAAAAAGTATAAGAGGATAAATTCTCAGAGAATGCTTTGATTTAAGCACAACAGCATTTTGATCCATCAAAAAATCAGATGGGGATTAATACTTATTTTACCTTGACTGACCACCTGATTTTTGAACCAGCGCAACTCGTCAAGCAAAGTGTTCCAGCACATGAGCAGTTCCAGGGACTTAATCACATGGTTGAAAAAAAAAAACCAAACACCTGTACTTTAAGTGTTTTAGTAGATTAGGATCTTATGGCATACTCGGTGTCTCAGCTGAGGTTATGATGCAACAGAAGACCACAGTGTTGTGAGGAGAACAGGCATGTTGCCATTGTAAAGTCTACTTGTCCTGGTGGGAAGGGCTTCCTCAGTCCCTGGAGATGGGTTCTACATGTTTAGCTGTACATCAACTGTTATTCTTCTCTGCCTTTTAAAATAATACTGGGAATCAAGCCTGCTTTAGACAGATATAGAGTCCACATCTGTGTACACGCTAATATTCCCATGGTTGACAGTGACCACATGTTGTGTTTCCATTTCAATTAAGGTGGAAATGGCTGGAATTTCAGAGAATGAAGCTTATAGTCAGGAATAAACCATCCATTTAGCTTCTCACACACCTTTCGGTGCTTGTACTGGGAATCCAAAGCAAGACTAATGCTGGCAGCAATGACTTCTGTTCTCTCCAGCAATTTTGAGTCTGAATGACAGTGGTAATAGTGTCATTCTTTAGTGATTATTTATATTTGTTCACAAATCCCCCCTTTCTTTCCACTGCTGAGTATTCAAAGCTTCTGAATGTGGTTTTTCAACTATTCTGTAAGCCAGTTCACTTTGCAAAATGTCTATTAGAAAGTACATCAGACTATGTTTCTACATACTAATCTAGAAGTAAACCAGTTGCATGTGAAATTAAATTGCCTTAGCTGCATATCTAATCAGTTGATTTGAAAAGCTTATCAGTCAGGGATGCTGCTTTACTTATGATCAAAATACAGTTTTCACAGAGGAAATTTGTTTGCAAATTGGCAACATTGGCAGATGGGTGAGCCTGGGGAGATCTGAAGATTTTGTACACAAGCACATAAACTATCCCTGATGATTGTGTTACAGCCTGCAAGCTGCACCGCTCAGTTGTGAAGCTGGAGAAGACAGTTCAGCTTGCAGGTGTGGAGTCCAAGTGCTATTCTACAGAACCTGTCCTGCGCTGTAAGAAAGGATGTTCTGCCACCAAGACTGTTCCAGTCACTGTTGGTTTCCACTGCCTCCCAGCTGGTAAGTCAACAGAAATCCTACTGAATAGGAGCTGCACAGAAGTCTGAATAGATTGTGCCTTGACTCAGTTATTCCACTTGAAATGTGGAGGGAAGTGGTTGAATCACCATCCCTGGAGGTGTTGAAAGGACATGTAGATGTGGTGCTTGGGGACATGGTTTAGCACTGGATTCAGTAGAGTTAGATTAATGGTTGGACTTGATGATCTCAAAGGTCTTTGCCAACCAGAATGATTCTGTGAGTCTGTGTGAAAAATCTAATATATCCACAGGTAGGGATGGACTTACTGCAGTATTGACTAAAGACTTTCTCTGATTTCATTAATAAGTAAAACTTCCTTTAGCAAGAGAAATGTTTTTCTGCTGTAACTTTATCAGGTTTTTATTATACTGGAATTTAAAATCTAAACTGAACTCCCCTTCATGTTGCTAACAAGGTGAGGGCAGGTTAGCAGCAGAAACTGTGTAGTGCAGCCACATCTGACCCATGTGCTGCACCCTCAAAAGGGGATCCTCACCTTGTATATTTTTATATACCACTGCCTTTGGGTATGACCATATTTCACTGAGCTGATTTAGGCAATAGAAAGGCAGGGGTGGATGGGATCCTGCATGCAGCTGCAGTGATATAGGAGGAGATTTGGTTTTTATAGGGATATTGTAGATTAGAAGATATTAGATAAGGTAGACATAGATTATATAAATGATAGGTTCATATCTGTTTTCCAGGTTTGTTTTTCCTTTAGAACCACAACATTCTTTCCTAAATGTACTATTAATAGAATCTACGTGGAAATATCAGTTGTCAAGATAGAACTGGCTTATTAATTGAGTTTCCCAGAACATCTCTGCTTGATTTAGAAACATATGAATATGTAAGCCAATGAGAAGCTAAGCCTGCTGTAATTAATGACTAGTGCATGGTAAATGCTGTACCTTGCAAAAGCACTTCTTTACTTTTCATGTCTTGTTCCTCCTCAGATTCAGTGACCAGCCTGATGGACAAACAGACAAAGTTTGACCAGAAGTCAGAGGATATTCAGGACACTGTTGATGCACACACAGCATGCTCTTGTGAGAGCGAAGACTGCAGTGCTTGAAGCTGTACATTGCAGCACAGGATAAAAGAGAAACACTTTAATATTTTTATTGTGTGGTGTAAGAAAACTCATTTTAAGGAATAATAGAGCTCCTAAATTAAGTCTTTAAGGGTATATGGAATCTTCTAAAGTAATTTAAAGTATTAAACTTTATTATTGCAGAAACTGTTATGATTACCCATAAATACCTGCTTTCGTAATAAATCCATGCATGGAAAAAAATAATGAAGGCTTCCTTATTTCACTAGTTATGGAAAGAGGAGATCTGTGGTGCTTCTTCTCACCCCCCATTTCATAGACTTCTTGAGTCTGAGACTTTCTTCTGTGTACTAGGCACATGTTAGGGTCAGGCCCCACTTGGATTATGGGTTTGGTAGCTGTGGTACCGGGCTCCTGCTTGTTTCCCCTGGTGCTGAGACCCTGTGCACCTGGGCAAGGAAATGATCACCTCCGTGTGAGGTAGCATCCTCTGCAGCAGCCACACAGCCATGGTGCTCTGCAGTCATGGTGTGCCAGTGCTGCTGGAGGGAACACCTAGATCAGGGAATAAGCCTGAACCTTGTGCTACTGAACAAGGCTGCTCTGAGGGGGTCAAGAACATGTTCTGTTCCTGTGGCACCACGTGGAGAAGCTAATGTGAATCAGGCGGTTTTGGGGAGGGCACCGTGAAGTTACCCAAATGCACCCCCTGCCATAGGGTCCAAAGCAGAGCCAGACCTTTGCACTTTGGGTGAGATGCCTCACCCTCTGTGCCCATCATGAGCCTCTCTGCCTCCTGCCCACCAGCTGCAGGTCTGTGTGGGCACAGCAAGGACCACAAATGCTGGAGCCCAAAGGATTCCAGTAGACCTGGGAGATGTTTTCCACTTGCCCCTTGCAGGCCAAGTATGCATGCTGGGTGAATTTGTTTTTCAGAGGACTGCTTTAGGAGATGGTGCAGGCACAACCATTGATGTCAGTGAGATTGTTGGCAGCTTAAGTCAGCAGGAGTTTTGCCCTTATTTCAATAGAAATAGTATAGAGTTTGGAAAAGTAATGTCCTTAGTACCAAAAGGAATATGTTTGAAATACAGACGTAAATGTTCTGTGATTTAAATGGCACCTTGCACTGTGAAGTGATGGGGAGCTGACAGCAGGCAGGGCTTGGGCACTACCCAGCAGCAGTAGTAAAGCTGGTGGGTTTGCTGCTCAATCAGAAGTCATGCAGAGCAGTGATGGGAAACTGAGAATATCCAGGTAACCGATGGGAAACTGAGAATATCCAGGTAACCCCTGAGGCCAAATCCAGGAGAAGCCAGAGCCTTGCATGACCCCCAGGGCTGGGCTGCACAAACCCCCAGCTCCCCTGGGGGTCCTGCAGAGGCAGCTCTGGGGGCTCTCGCGTTTTCCAACCCCCGCGCTCAAGCCAAGGGTGGGATGAGGCCAGCAGGGACACCCTGGCAGGAGCCCCACGGGTCAGCATTGCCCAGCCAGAGCCCAGGTGGGACTGCAAGGGACTGTGGGCAGGGGGTGTCCACCTGCAAAGGGCTGCAGGGAGGCCTCAGACAGGCTTTCTCTCCCCCACTGGCATTGTGGAGACAGCCAAGCACAGCTCAGGGAAATGCTGTCCAGGGCCCATCCTGGGCACAGCAAAATTATTTGGCACTGCACAATTTATTTTTAGGGATATTTTTTTCTTTCTCTTCAGGTTGTATCTTTTGAAGAAACACAAAGCATGAAAAGACTGTGAGTATATGGGGGGTGGGAGACGGTGGGCAAGTTGGGAGTTGAAATAATTTTTGATGTACTGGAGAAACTGTCTAGAAAAATAAGGCCTTGCCACTTGGTTTTGCCTACACGTGGAGCAGAAGCATAGTTGATCCTGCTCTGTGGCAGCAGCACGAGGGTACCAGGGATGCAGGGCTAGGGTGACTGGGGATGCAGCTTTTGCTGCCCAAAGGGGTGGGGTGGGATGAGGGCTCTGCAAGCCCCAGGCTGGGGGGATGGAGGCTTTGGGGAGACCGTGCCCTTGCAGCTGGGCACAACCTGCACAAGCCTCAGGGCTTTGTTAAAGGGGGGGTTACAATTTACAGTGTCACTGTTCTAGTGTGCTGTTTTAGCAATATAGTGTTATAATTTCCAGACACCAAATACAAAGGTGGTTGCACTTAATCTGCCACCACAGCAGCACTCTTCTGCTTGAACTGCCACTGACCCCAAACCCTCATTGCCCGTGAGGTGTTTTTTGGTGTTTTTTTTTTAAATCTGTGTAGCTGCACAGAGTTATGCCATAATAGATCAGCTTTTAAACCTCCATTACCAGTTGCCAGTAGCTGCATGCTCAGATCCCCTAGCTACATTTACCAAAATCTATGAAGACATGACACAACTCAGCTGTGCTGCTTACGGTGGGAATGGCTTAGCTTTTCTATCATGTGCCATCAGATTTGCCAGGGAAGAGATTCAAATAAACAGGATCAGGATATAATGCTGGTAAAAAAGCAGTGAAATATTTGCCATACTACAAAATATTTTGAAGGTAAAAAAACCCCAATATTTTTAATCCTACAGATGTAATCTTTGCTCTAGGAACAGAATCCACAGCTTGTCAGACATTATAAATTATATCCCAACTGCCAATTATAAAAAAATCAAACACATCAGCTAAAGAGCATTATGAAACCTAAGCTGCCTTGGACAGGAGCCACTGATCTGTTGATGAGAAAATGAAGCCCATCCCTTCCCACAGTGAGCTGGGCAGCAGCTCCAGCTCCCACCAGCCCAGGAGGAGGTGGGTGGCCAAGGAGCGTCGCGCGGCGCAGCCCAAGCCCCTCCGGAGCAGACTCAGCCCTGCCCGTGCAGCCCTTGGTGGGCTGTGCGGGTGGCTCCCCCAGCCCCAGGTGGGCCCAGCTCCACACCACAGCTGCAGGGGCCTGGGGAGGACCTTGTCAAACCTTGGAGTAACACCAGCCTAAGAGAACCATGGGGCTGCTTCTCAAGGGACAGGACAAGCGCCTACTGATCGGAGAAGGGGGCTGCACTGTGGGTTGAAGATGCCGCCCCTTGTTGCATGATGTGAAATGAGTTTGGGTGAACCAGACTTTGCAAGTCTTTTTAAACCAAGAGGTTTGTGTCCGTGAGGGCAGCCATCCTCACCCATTCCACTTCGCAGGGGCTATCCCCACCAACAAGCCTCCTGTGGCTGATGGCACTGGTGGAAGGGGCTGGTACTTTAGCCCGGTAGTAGAAGGTGGGTGGGCGAAGTGTGAACATCAGTGGGATTTAGCTGTGGTCTTTGTGACAATGACGGCAGGTTTGTGTCACTGGGTCCCCAGAGAGCAGCACTTCGGGTGATGGTGTGTCCTGCTGGCAGCAGAGCAGGTGTTGGCACAGTGTCACGGGAGGGCATCCTGGGGATTTTACACAACCTTGCTGGAGTGCTATCAGTTAGATAAGCTGTGTGCTGTACAGTCAGGTCAGGATAACCTGCACAAGGTTAGCATGGACTGCAATAGCACCGTTTCCAATGAATAAGGATCATTACTAGGTTGTCTTATACAAAAAAAAATATTTTGGCTTTAACTGTATTTTAATACTTTTAAGCACCAGTTTTAAAAGGTACTTTAAAGCACTTAGCTGGGGAAGTGAGAACAAAATTGTTGGTGATAGTTCTAGCTCAGCATTAACAGCCAGCACCTTGTTCCCAACCACCTCTCCCTCAAAGGGTTTGAGATGGATTGATAAAAAGTTGATAACTCGACAAAATTCGCTGTGCCTGGTACTAATTCTTCTATAAAAGCTGAACATTTTCTCCTGCAGTCTTCAGTTGCTTTTAGCATGAAGGGACTCATCCTGGCCCTGGTGCTCACCCTCGTGGGTAAGTTGAAGCTTTACCAGCACTGCTGAGCTGTGATGGTAGCTGCAGTCCTGAGCAAACTGAAACTCCTCAGGGCCTTTCAGGGGTATTTACAGCTTAATTTGCTGAAGCCCTTTTATGAGCATTAGATTTGTGTTTAAGCTTAACAATAGGGGAAAAGCAGAGCAAGCAGCAGCTAGTGAGTGGGGCTGGTGCAAGCTCTGTGTCCCCAGGGGTATGGGGTGCATCCGGGGAGACCATTACTAGTTGTTTGTAAATGAATAATAAATGGAAAGGGCCCAGAGAGATGGGGAGTCCCTCACACATCTTCCTCTTTCCTCCCACACAGGGGGTCAGAAGCAGGACCTGGGTGAGTGTGCCAGCCAGCAGCCCCCACGCTGCCCTCCCCACCGCCTGCACTGCCAACTGCTTCTGCTGGCCTGTCGGCAGCAGCAGCCTCACCCTTCTTTGCTGGGCTGCTTCTCGTGAGTAGCATTACAACAGTCATCGTGAAAAAGGTGTTTCTGATATTTAATTTTTCTTTTAACAGAGCCTGTTTTCCATACTGGCCAGACCTACCTCTATGCCTACGAGAGCTTCATCCTGCAGGGGCTGCCGGGCAGAGGCCTGGCCATGGCGGGGCTCAGGCTGACCTGCCAGCTGGAGATCAGCCGCGTGGCTCACAGCGACCACCTTCTCCAGGTAAAGCACCTGGCCGTGGGGACCCACCTGCTGCTACTGACCTTCAGGTCATACCCATAGGCTGATAAAATAAATTATAAAAAATGCAAAGCTCACACAAAATCTTAGGGCCCTTCCAGGTGCTGAGATGACATGTAAGTCCAGTGTCAGAGAAGTGGCTTTGCTCAGGCAGTGGTGATTTCCCCAGTATGGGCAGAGGTGCTGGCACGGGCACCCTGTACCCCCAGGCTGTGCTGAGAAGAGCTGAGAGCTCTTCTGGAAGGTCTGCAGCTGTGGCCAAACTGCTCTGGGTTGCAGCAGTGACCCAGACAGTGCCACGGGCTGCCTCGCAGCCTGCATGTCTGTGGGAGGGAGCCAGAGCTGCTTCAGTTCAACTGACATCAGTATCTGAGCCTCCCGGACTGAAGCTGCCTTAAGGTCATCCCCATGTGGAAATACAGCAGGCAGCTGCTTTAAAGAAAAA